CCCCTGGTGGACACTAGAGAGAATGCAGCTTTAACACATGAAGCATCGGCTTCACTCGGCAGAACCTAGAGGTTGCCGCCTGATTAGCGTGCAATAGCCCTGAAGAACATACACATTTATCCTAAATGTCTTGACAATTGACATAAAATGTATATTTATGATGAATTCATTTTTCTTTTCTTTCGTCACTTTTTATCCTCTGTAGTCTAGAAGGCCTGAGAAAGGAACGCCACGGTTTAATCTTATGCTGATATACACTGTGTGTAAATGATGAGAAATAAGCCGTTTTAAATATACCAGAGCCAGAGGACATGAGGGGGTTCGTGTTTAACCAGATGTAATCCAGATTAAGGCAACAAATCACCCTCCCATCCTGTACTCCGGCTTGTGAAGAGATTAAGGAAGTAATAATTCATCTTGATTAGATCACTTTCATAAGAGGCCGTCCCAACTGGACTAGGATAAATAGTTTAATGGTAGATTTTGTTTTGGTACCAAATCAAATCCAACACAGAATCCAAAGATTTCACTTTAATCAGACATTTACAGCCGTCGACTTTACAATAATCTGCAGCAACTTTGTTCAGATCACATGCTGGACAGCGAGACAGCTCAACCAGAGTTTGAGACAGTGGAAGCCCTTCTCATTCAGATCATTCTTCCACTGCTATTGATTGGCTGGGGTTTGAGAAGGTGGGGGGGCTATATTGCACCGACTCACACACCTGGAGCAGCAACCGCTCTGCTACAAAAAGTGTTTACTGTCGTTTCTTCGTTAAATGAGAACTCATTGTTCTTTTTAAGCTCTTTACAAAACGTCACTTTGTTTTTGCAGATTTGCGTCATTTTGTCCTCGACAGCAGCGACACGGGAGCGGGTCACATGACGTGAACCAGGAAGTCTCTGCCCTCATGAGAACAACAGCCGGTCAGGATGCTGAGACGAGGAGTACAGTCGGTAAATTGTTCTCAGCAGCGTCATGAGACAGAAGAACTGAACCAGAATCATGCAGGACACATATCCGGCGGCGGAGAATCGAACATGTCGACGTTTTCACATGAGCTACATAACACACACCGTTACATAGAAAAGTGGTACATAAATACAACATATTGATGGCAGCAGGGGGTCGTTGGGAGGTTCAATCCCCCCGGACAGCAGCGGGTGTGTTTGTTCCTACCGTTGAACTCTGAACTCTGACCCGCTGTGGTGGAAAAATATTAAACTCTCGACACCTCACGGCTGCTTTTAAAGTCACAATGAAATAAAACGTGAGTTTTAACATTAAGATGTTGTTGTACGTGAAGACAGCTGCAAGTCAATGACCACTGGACGAACTTCATCGTCTTCATGCTGAGGAAGATCATGTGATATAACTGAAAGCTCCAGATCAACTACGAAACGGACCGTGTGTGTTTCCGAGGCCAAGAACGAACTTTCAATCGCGACTTTTTAAAGTGATTTTCCTTGTGACGTATAACAGTAAATGTGTTTTTCTATCAAAAACCTTTTTGGAATTCATTTTAAAATCATTTAATTCTAAAATCTGCACTCTGACTCAAGGAAGTGAAGGAAATGTTCACTAAAGACGATCAATACAAAATCTTTTAGCTGTCAATCAACTATTTGTTCATATTTACCCTGAAATCTATCTTAATATATTAAATAAACCACTTAATATATTTAAATATGTGATTTATATCTTTACCACAATAAATCATGTGAACTCCACAAGAGTTTAAAGACTAGTTCAGCAGGTGTTATTTATCATGCTTGCATTTAGCGATAGCTTTAGTTATTAATATTAGTAACAAAGTAATGTTACTATGTACACCAAAAACATGTCATTTACACATACTAGTAAAAGTACAAAATGTGGCTTAAATGAATAAATCACCCATGAAAAAATCATCTGTATATCAAATCATACCATAATCATAATAATCGTCAACTATGTTGATAATAGATTATTTGGTTTGAGTAATAAAAATAAGAAAAAGTCTAAATCCTCTGATTCCAGCTTCTTAAATGTGAATATTTTCTGTTTGTCTTTTGAATCCCCTCTGACAGTAAACTGATTATCTTTGAGTCGTGGACAAAACGAGACATTCGAGGATGTCGTCTTGGACTTTGGGAAACAAAATGGACGATGGACATTTTTCACAACTCGGCCAATATCATGATATTCATCATTTTTTAAAATCAATATCAATACCGGTATCGCAATGATATCGTTGGATTGACCATTGGTGATTTTACTAAATATTTACACAATGGGATTCTGATAAATAATCAACAGTAATGCGGATGAATACCTGACAGTCTGGTCGTCTAGTTTACTGTAGTTCAGCCTTGAAAAGCAGGAAAAGACAAAACATTGATGTCATTTTACGACACAATATCTTGTCTCATATCACGATGTCAACGTCATATCGATATTGTGCCCAGCCCTAAAACACGACAAATTGATTAATTGAGAAAAGGACTGACGGATTGATCGGCGCTCTCCTTTTTACCTTTTTATTTAATTCTCCGTTTACTTTGGAAGCACAACAAACAAAGTTTTCTTCAATACTTCCAGCTAACACAGAGTGAGTGATTGATGTACAGATGCTCGTCGTCGGGGTGAAATATTCCTCTACGCTTAAGGCTAACGCTAACTTGATATAGCTCTCTTGCTCAGTTGGCGGTTTATGTTGCATTAAATAAAGTGTTTTTTTGCCTTTTCTGGCTCGCTGGCAGCAATCTGTATTAATGTGAACTTTCCCTGTTAGATAAACCAATAAATAAATACAATCACAGCACCAGAGTGTTGTAAACTCTGGTTTGGTTTTCAGTTCAGTTTTTATGGTTTGCTGATAGTTTAGCATGCTGTTTTCACTGAATTGTGGAATTGATGCCTTAAAAAAATCTGTTGATTTAAAACTTGCAGCCAAAACCATTAAAACAGCCTCAGATTAGAACACACAGGCTGTGTAGTCTGGGTCTCCTCTTCTTCTTCTTCTTCTTCTTTCAACACAACCATGTGTCAAACTCAGGAGCAAGACGCTCCCAGAAAACACATTTCATTGTGACTATAAATCCAAACTCTGCATGTTAAATCTAAAGGTCTGCAAAATTTGAAGAAAAAACATCTCCTTCAGTCTCGACTGTCAGACCTCTTGGCTGTGAGAAATAGATTATCTTTAGATACCCACAAGATCATTCTGTAATCCTGGAGGTGGACTTAACAGCAGCAGCCAAAACCCTTCAGAAGGACCCCAGACGCTCTTTGAATATTTAAACTCTGAAGTATATTTACATGAAGCCATAAGCGATCACCGGCTCGCAGAAAAGAAAGAAAAGTGCTGTGAAACCTCTTCCAATGGGGAGGTCGGGCTCGTGATGCTCAGAGATAACAATCCTCTTCCACTTTACACAGATCTGAAACAGCCATCGGCTAAAACAAAGAGAGAGACAAAGGCTACAGATCCCGGCGGACGGCGGAGGATTTGCCACCAACACCCCCCACATGTCAGGAGGTGGTTATCTTAAGACGCTTGCATGGCTTGTGATTTAAGAGTCACACTGGTTCAGCTTGAGATCAAAAAAAGGCAAAATGCCCGGAGGCTGAACAAAAGACCTGCTGATCAAAAAACCTGAGGAGGAAAATGCAAAGAAATAAGATTTATTGGCTCTTTGACGAGTGGGCTGGCAAACTCAAAAGCAACCGTAGAAAGTAAAGCTTAATTCTTTAAAAATAAAATGTCACGTGGAACCAGAGACTGTGTAAACATAATTGTGAACTTCCCGCCAACACCCAGCTTCAAAAGAGACGGAGCCTTCTGATAAAAAAACACACATACAAGCTCCCAAATAATGCTCAATCTTCTCTCTGGGGAATTAGCTTAAAAGTCCATCCGATACACATTTTTAGCTCACTCACTCACACACACACACACACACACACACATACACACACACACACACACACACACACAGGCTGATTATGAGATGGCTTCTCAGTAACTCATTAGCATCGGGAGTGCCCTCAGGAAAAGGAAGTGGGTTTTTTTGCATCACCTAATTCTATCCTGAAGTCAGGCTTGAAAAGATTTAAAATATAAAGATTTTTTGCATTTCGGTGGATCGCACAACACAAGTCGTGTTGTGTTTTGCTTTATTTTTTGCATCTGGGAGTTGTTAAGTCAGTGCAGGCAGGAGTGTTTTTATTAAATCCCCTGAAGTGACACACGTGAATCGTACTCCAACAGTCCGCTTTCTTCATGAGTATAAAAAAAACACTTCTTTACTCCGGGTCGTCAGCTTGTGATCTCTGCAGCTGAGAAAGAGCAGCATTAGAGAAACCTTCACAGCCTCCATAAAAATCCGTCTCTGTGAGGACCGACGGGCATCTGCACGGGCACCTCTCTGTGTGTGTGTGTGTGGGGGGGGGGGGGGACATTTTACTGCGGGACCAAAGAGCAGGACCCGTTTCTTACTACGCAGCTGAAAGCGACGAACACACACAGAAGGCCGACGCCTCCAAAGTGACCGAAACGAATCAGTCGCCGTCGTCGGGTGCTCGTACTTGCCCTCAAGGGTCTGGTCCCGGGGCCTTTTTGGCGTCCACGCATCCGAGGCAGGAGGGAAATAGCGGACTGAAGAGGCGGCCGAGACCTTTCCGGAAGACGCTGTTGGAGAGGCTGTAGATGAGACAGTTGCAGAAGCTGTTGCTGATCGCCAGCCACGTGGTGAGGAAGGACGCCACCTTGTGGTGGTACAGCCCGGCGCTCTCCAGGAGGAAGTAGAGGATGTACGGCATCCACAGCACGTAGAAGACGCTGGTGATGCGGAACAGCACCATGGCGTAGCGTTTGTCCGGGCAGCCCTCGCCGCGCTCGCCCTCCATCTGCGAGCTGAAGCGGGCGTGGCGCTGCGTGATCTCCCGCGTATGCTGCCGGCAGATGCGGAAAATGCTGCCGTAGGTGAAGCAGACGGTGAGCGCCGCCGGCGCGTAGAGCAGCGCCACAATGAAGGCGCTGAACCCCGGGTTGGTCTTCCAGGACACGGCGCACCACTTAAATATGTCACCGTGATAACCCGGCTTCCCCCAGCCGAAGAAGGACGGCAGGAAGACCAGAGCGGAGTAGACCCAGATGAGGACGATGCACGCCCGCAGGCGGCACGGCGTCACCAGCGTGGCGTACGACAGCGGGCGGGTGATGGCGATGTAGCGGTCCACACTGATGCACGCCAGCGAGGCCATGGAGACGCTCTTCAGCACGGAGACCATGTAGCCGAACGCCTTGCACATTAGCTCCTCGTTCAGGCCTTTGAGGTAGTGCAGCAGGGACAGCGACGGCACCACGCAGCTGACGCCCACCAGCAGGTCGGCGTACGCCATGGTCTGGATGAAGTGGCTGGTGGTGTGGTGGTGCAGCAGCGGTGCGCAGTGGAAGACAAAGATCACCACCAGGTTGCCAGTGATGATGAGCACGGTGAGGAAGAGGATGACGACCACCTCCAGCACGCAGGTGTCCAGGCTGCGGGAGTAGCCCACGGCGCCCAGCAGGCAGAACGGGGGTGAGCTGCTTTGGTTCGCGTTGGAGGAAGAGTTCATGTTTGACAGGGAGGGGGGAGGGGAGGCGGCGGTTTTTAGCTCAACGCAGCCGTCATCCCAAGTCTCTTTTCTCCAATCCAGAAGTTGCTCGTTCCCCCCCACGATAAAAACACAACAGTGCTTCTATTCTTCTTCAATCAGCATCTTTTCTCCCTCAGCGGGCGGAGAGCCCGTCCTTAAAGTAGCAGTAATCCATCCTGAGTGTGCAAAACGCAGCCAGACTGCTGCTGCTGGGTGTGAAATATGTGCATGTGTGGAACCTCCAAAAAAAAAAAGAAAACGCGTAGAAGAAGAGATGCCGGTCTGATGCTGCAGTGCAAACCGTCCCCACCTCGCAGCTGTTTATCATATCCACCCCCTCCCCATCTCGACTGCAAATCCTGAGGTAAGCACTCTGCTCCGGCACGCGGCCACCGAAGGATCCCGGCATCCACTTCTGCTCTTTGCAACATAAAAAATACCCCCGGCAGCTCCGGTGTTTCACACTCCTCCACTCAGCCAAAACAAAAAAACAAGAGAGTCCAAAACAAGCAGATCTGGAAGTGGACGCCTCGTCCACGGTCCACTGACCGTGAGGGAAACGCACACTTTCTCACACACACACACACACACTTTCTCACACACACACTCACACACGTGCAGAGTCTCGAAGCAGGAAGAGTCCTTCAGAGGTGGGCGAACATCCAGATGTGATGGATAATGTCACCGGGATCTCTTCTCCGTCAGGCTTCTATGCAGCCGGCCGGCTTTTCCAGTGTGTGTGTGTGTGAGAGAGAGAGAGAGAGAGAGAGAGAGGGGGAGATAAGGGAGACAGGCGGTAATCTGCCTCTCCTCTCTGCTGTAGTGGCAGTAGTGATGATGCAGCGCTGCTTCCCTCTCCATGAACGCTTCCCTCTACTCACTCCCCGTTGTCCTGCCCCCCCCCCCTTTTTTTTTGAAAACTCTCTCTCTCTCTGTCTCTCTCTTTGTCGGTCTCTCCCTCTCTCTCTGTCTCTCTCTCTCCCCCCCTCTCTCTCTGTCTCTCTCTCTCCCCCCCTCTCTCTCTGTCGGTCTCTATCTCTCTCTCTCTCCCTCTCTGTCTCTCTCTTTGTCGGTCTCTCTCTCTCCCTAAAGCTGGAGTAGAGATGCATGTCCAGAATAAAGGAAGGAGAAACACTACTTTTAAACGTCATGAAGGACTTGGATATCAACAGCTTATTGGATGTGAGCAAATATCTCAACGCCGAGCTTTTAGAGAAGCTGTTTGAAGGAATGAAAGAGGGAGGCTGAGTTTACACGGTCCAACAAGTCCACTTCTGAAACACACTGAAAAAAAAACATTTTGATGCAAAGAAGCAAAATGGCTGCTCCACATTTCCATCGTTTGACGTGATAAAAGACATGCTAGGACATCAACCCGTGAAATACAGAAGAAAACAGCGTAGACGTGGGTAGATGAGGCACGGGCTCGTTTAACGGAATATGCACGGCTGCATGTAAATGAATATTAGTGGAATATTCATTTACATGCAGCCGTGTAAACCGCTAATAAGGAATAATGTCTTTTCAGGATAATAGCAACAAAAAAAAACACGTTTTTTTGGTGCATGTAAAGAGAGTTAGTCTCTTATGAAGCCCCTTAACCTGGTCATTTTAAATACGCTGGAGCAGTGCACGTTTTGTTGTCAGACTTGTTCTGTATCTGCCAATATGGATCATCAATGATTGCCGGCAAAAAAAAAGGTGATCGGGGATCTCTAAAAGTTATATTTGCTCCCTTTTTTCCTTTTGTGCAGATCCGACCCGTGACTCTGATCCGAGATCCGATCCAAACCGTTTGAATTGTATTTAATCTGTCACTAGTAGCTTCTTCATGGTGCCATAAAAACAAAACACCAAAGCACCGGTTCTATGAGAGAATGCGTCACCGGCAAACGGTGGTCATCTGCTGATTCACCACATCAAACTAAAGCCTCTCCTATGGTACCTGGTTCATTCCAGGCCGGCTGATGGTGGCGAACAGAGACAGCATTCAGACGCTGTTTGTTTTTGTTTGTTACCATATGGTGAGCGTTGAGGTGGGTGAGGAAGGGCATTAGCCGCCATGTTTACGCGTCTGTTTTTGCTTCAGAAAAGGTCAAGAGGTGCCACATCTGCCCGACTTATGAGGCCGAACGTGGAGGTCGGCTGTACAAGCAGTTACGTTTTTTTGTCCGACATGTTGAATGTTAAAACATGGCCGCTGGCGTTACCAACGTCAGCACGCCCGCTCTGAGTACACAGCAGGCAGGCCGGGCGGCCTCGTGACCGAATGTTGGGCAAAGGACAGCTTGTGATGATGCGGTTCGAGCGCCACCAGCAAAAAAGATCCCAAAAAATCATCCAACATCCCCGAAGCCGAGACCGTTACAAGAGCAGCCTGCCGACCTGAGGGTCGCAGTTCCTGCAGAACTAAAGAGCGAAAAAAGCTCTTATTGTGGAAATTCTCTATATTCTTTAACTTTACGAAGCATGACTATGTTATTTACGAGGAAGTGGAAATGATTTATAGGCTTGAATCAGCTGTTTTGTGTTCCCCATGAAAGCCTCTGTGTTCAGACTTTTTTAGTTTTGCCTTCGAGGCTTTTTTAAACCAGTTATGTGATGTGTGTTTCTAGGAAAGTCAGGTTGCTCTGTTACAGAATGTACAGAAAAAATGTAATCCTAAAGAAAGAAAGAAAAAAGCAAATAACTAGCAAATAAATAAGAAAGAAACCGCCAGTAAAGACGTGTGATTGAGTATGAGATTGGACAAATAATCAATATTAAAGGGACATGATCAGGACATCCCTGAAGTGCATACTTCATTTTTATTTATTTTTTAAATCATCTCTTTTCTCCAATTCGCAAGAAAACTTATCAATAAATCTATAAAACTCAATAGAAGTCCAGCAAGAGAAATAATAATCTATTTTTCCTTTTCAAAGTAAAACATCTAAATTATACTACATCTATACACTGATCTATGGAGGTGTAACGGACCGCTGTCGATCCGATTAGTGACACAATTTAACCATCACAGTGTAAATAAAGTTTTACTGACTCAGTAGAACATGTCTTTCTAGTCTCTGATCTCTGATAATGTTTCATTGTAAACAACCAATCAGTGTTTAAACCAACAGGAGGAGAGCTAGTAACGTTAGCAGCACCGCTAACGGCT